ATAAGTTGTGAATCACCCTGTATATGTATTGAATGATTTGCTGGACATTTACCTGCCAGTTTTAATGTCGTTTTTATCTCACTCTTTTCTGTATATACTCACCTCGTTAAATGCAAAATTCAACTAAAATTTAACGTACCTATTTACAATACCTATGTATCCCGTTTTTTCCGGAGTAAATGCCTAATAACTACGCTATGTGTTTTGAAAAATACACCTCAATTAGCATTATTTGCTTTAGTATCCTGTTCAATGCGTTTTAATGATTCTTGGATTCACTATAAAATTACGCTCTCTTGATGACTTAAATAAATACATTCAAACTTAAAGTATATATTTAAACAGGTATATAAATACATAAGATCAGTAATGAAAATGACAAGTAGATAATAGTTTCCTAGAAATAAAATAGTATTTTATGAAATCGATAGTGTTCAAATACTTCCTTACCAATAAAAACCATTAAGCACTTATCGAGGGGGTAACCACTCTACCAAAAAATGTACACGTATTGCGGAAATCCTATGATTTCCTGTGATTTCCTCGAAATCGGTACGATTGCCAGCGATTGCTTTAAAATTATAACGATTTCCAAAGATTGCCTCGCAATGACCACGATTTCCAGAGAAATCACCACGATTTCCAGTGATTTCCTTCGGAATCAGTATAATTACCCAGGATTTCTGGAGTTGAAATACATATTAAGTAGATAGATACCTAAGTTGAGGGACTTATCGAAAATTACTCCTTTTTAAATAAACTACATATAGGCATATAATAATCTATGAAGATAAAATATATAGTGTTTCTAAACTGATATGAAAGATTTTATGAGTTATCAGTAAAAATAAAAGTTTTTTAAATTGAAGAAACCTTTGCACAGAATTTCGACACATTAAAAAGGTCTGACAAAAAATATTACAGAAGTTGATGATTTTAATGATAGATGAGTAATATTGGATATCTGGCCGTAGTTTTCTATTTGGATCAACTTTTCTTAATAACGATTGTCTATATTGTAAAAAATAAAGGCACTTTACTTTTGAGTAAAATTTACATTTTTCGACAAACCTTGTATATCACTGCAAAAAACTGAAATATGATTACTTCAGTTTGGGTTCCAGACCATGCAGAACTTTTTATCAAGAACAACTTTTTGTCATAAAACCAATAATAAAAAGGTTTCCCAGATGGTGCCGACTTAATTGGACACACTGTATATCACAGTTTTGATGATTAAGTAAAATATAAAATAAAATTAATACAAGCACTTTGTATCTCAGTAGATGTCAAAATTAGGTTTTTTAAATAAAATATACGTAGTAACACTTCGTAAATTGTTTTATTTTTTTTTAAATATTTTTATAAGTTTTTTCTATTAACAATTTATCTTGCCTTTTTAGCTGAAATCAAATCGAGAGGTCCATAAAATATGAATTTTCTTTCTACAATTTGTATATCTTCTTCACGTGGCCAAACATAATCATTAAGTTCAGACTTCAAAAACTTCATTTTGTATGTATTGTTGTCCAAAATTTCTACGATGCGCCCTATATACCACGTGTCATAATATGTGGCATAATATTTTTCAACACACAATATTTTATTTTCTGGTTCTACTGTATCAATTTCTTCTTCGGAATGGCTTTCATTTTCTAATTCTGAGCTCGATTATGAGTTTATAGAATATCTCCCGTTTGATGTTTCTTCGGCAGTTTCCTTATTAAAACTCATTTTAGCTGCGATTTTTAATTTCTGGGTACTCTTTTTAATACTATCACTTCCACGATTAAGTATTTAAATCAGAAATTAAAGGTAACTGACATTACGTCTTTCCAAACAGCAGCACAAAACACATTGTTTTATTTCACTTTATAATAATAATAAGAAACTTACCTATTTGGGTTGTATGTATAATACTTTTTATGCTTTTTATGATGCCAAAACAACGTTTCACCGTCTGCTAAATGAGAATTACAACTCCCCACCACAGTCCCTTGTAAGATAATTTCGACTATTTCGACGATTGCGGAGTAGATTGCGAGATTGCGGACATGATTGCGGGCGATTTCTGCGATTTCCTGTCGAAGCCGCGCGATTTCGGGCGATTTCCACGTGATTGCGGTGATTGCGATGGATTGCGAGCGATTTCCAGTAAATTTGTACACGTATTGCGGACAGTGGTTACCCCCTCTGTCTATCTCTTTCAAAACACACTTGGTCTACTTGGTAGGTTCTTTTATAAACGCATTTTGTTTTGGTAATTAAATATCTTTTTGTTAGCGTCGTGTTCCTCGATTCCACACTAATTTGCGAATAACTTGATAACAAAAAAATATATCGAACCCTTTTTTGCGTCGAAATGTAGCTATTTTCATGCTCTTCAAACTAACCTATAAAAAGTTTTATCCTGCTATTTCATTATTTTAAGAAAACATGAAATAACCTAAACTTGGATAAATAGCGCCAATAAATAAACAACACTTTCGTTAGAAATTTCAAACTTATATTATATTCATCAATTTTTTGCGCTGAATCCATTCGAGTAAAAAAAACTATAGCATTGCATTTAAAATTTTTGAGAAAAATCCATAAAACGGTATTCTTTTAAAGTAACGCCATATATAGGTTTCTATGTTTAGGTAAATGACATTACGCATTCACCACAACATAAAGCATGAAAAGACCTTGCCAACGAGGTATAACACTATGGGCTTTTGATGAGCCAGTCCTTAAAAAATACATTTTTCTGATCAGACATTAGATTCTCCCACCCTTTCTGTGGAGAAATAGAACAAAATGCCAATAACAAAGGTTATGCGCAAAGAATAATTCTATCCATATTTGTATTATTTAATATAGGTACCTGAATAGAAAACATTTTTGAGAAAAATTCAACTCTATGTATTGACATGTAGATTGCGCTCCCTAGTGGCCGAGCTATGAACTTGAAAACTATTTCCAGCGATTTCTCTTGGTCGATTTATTAATCAATTTTTTTTCCCGAAACTCTAGGGCCTATGCCTATACATTCTCTAATATCGTACCTCGCCGACCTTAGTGGGTCACCCTGTATAGACAACATGTAGTACATACATCTAATTTATCTGCAGCAGTTTGAGAACATGAATTATTGTCAAGAAATAGTACTTCTTTAGGGTAAATTCCTAGAGGCATTTCAATTGTCTCGCAAGCTTCAAATTGTTAATTAGCACAACACTCTGTATTTAGTATTACCTACAAATTTACTTTTTTCCCGAAAATATAAAAATGTAGGGTCACTGTTAAACAATTTTTTTTATAGCAACGCATCATACTTATTTAAAGGATCATGTAAAACTTTTACATGATCCTTTAAATTAGTCCTTTTACAGTAAAAGAGTATGGTGAAACTCTCATGGTGTTATTGTTAACTCGTCTTATTAAAAACATTTCCATTATATCATATTTTCTGTTATCAGAAAAGATAACTAAGATTTGAGATACCTACGTATACAATATTATTCACACGAGTAATTGTTTTAAGATTAGAGTAGATCTTAAAGACCTATTTATTCAGTTCATGTTCTAACTGAGAATTATAATCTGCTTTACTACAGAGTGGGCTCTCGTTGATCACATGAACTTAAAAATTCATTTTCAGCCTCTGTTGACTGCTAAAAGGGAAGTACCTTTCCATAGATGGGAACCCATTTATATCGGCACAAAAAGTGAACCGTTTTATAACGAAAAATTATCATGGGAAGGATTGCAGGATAAAATGTTACAGGTAAATGTATCTCAATTTTACGTTGAAGTTGATTTAAATTAATACAAAGATAAATCTTTTTAAAAAATCTAAGTTTGATCCTTTGGCACTAAATACCGAGCCTAGCTAAATAAGCAGCGCTCTGTACAAAATAGTAAGCAATTATCTAATAATAAAAAATATAAATACTCTGTCTTTCTCAAAAAATCTAAATTGTGAGCAATTTGGAATTTAGTTTTATTTAATTGCAAGTTCTACATTAAAACTAATTTCCACGAATATAAATTGTCTTTAGCCGGAATATACAACTATCAGTTGATATGAGCTGAGAATTTATATTATATTTCTGTTGCAGATGCTCGAAATGTGCCTTATAGGATATAAATTTGTTATTTTGGATGGACCTTTCTTGGTACACTGGCCCGGCATTAAAAAAACGAAAACCAAGGATGGGGAGGCTTGGAGAGACGAATTCGTAAAGAAGAACTCTGTCGAATATCAGAAAATTCTTCAAGTTTTGTCAAAAAAATATAAACCTAACCCTCAATGCAAAGTGCAGTAGTGGGCTTATAAAAATTTAGATTCTATATTATTTATTCTACATTATTTATTATTTTATAATTAGGTGATATATAACAAGCAATTTCAGTAAGACTCTTACAAATTTTACCAGGATATGAATTAACTGTTTTGCCATAATCGAGACAGTATTATTTTACCGTCCTTATTCACGCTCATTTTTTATGAAGATATTAGTGATATCATTTGCAAGTTGTTAAACTTTATTACATATCTTACGGATATTTGTGAATGGTTAAAATCTTATCTTGTTGAAATTTGAAATTTTGAATAGAATAGCAAAATAATGAAAATATTAAAAGAAACCATGTCAAAACTTAAAACTATTGTGTATGTAAAAATAAATGCAAGACAAATAACAATGAATATTTATTTAATGGCTATAAGATGCTATCAGAGTATATTGCAACTTCTTACCCAAAATTCCTCTTTTGCTGTATAGGGTGATTTAAACTTCCTGGCTCGATTAATTCAGAAAGTGGCAATTTAAGAAAACTAATAGCATCACTAAAATCTTAGTTGGAATGACATATCTTCTAGTAAAATAGAGAATATTTTGTAGAAATTCCATATAACTGTTTTTGTTTAGTACAACTGGTAAAATAACTAGTCCATCCAAATAATTTCCATTAATACCAGCGTAAGTTGAAAATATTTTTATGGACATTACTATCCTGAGTAAGGATAACCTGGCACTAGATCTGTCGTTGGATTGAATTTTCAAGCAGCAGCTTTTGAACATTTTGGGCGTAAATGTAGTAGATTACATACATCATATAACGGGTTCGTTCAGTAGGTACCTAATATTTAATTTATAACTTGATTTTACATTTTCCGTAATCTCAAAACTAGAGGGTGTCACAAAAAGTAACGCAGGATATGAATAGATTATCATCAAGAGTTGACAGCAATGTTTCCTCTAATTTTTTCGCTGACTACGTGGTACAAAAGTATATGGGAGCGAAAATGTATCCNAGCCTAGCTAAATAAGCAGCGCTCTGTACAAAATAGTAAGCAATTATCTAATAATAAAAAATATAAATACTCTGTCTTTTTCAAAAAATCTAAATTGTGAGCAATTTGGAATTTAGTTTTATTTAATTGCAAGTTCTACATTAAAACTAATTTCCACGAATATAAATTGTCTTTAGCGGAATATACAACTATCAGTTGATATGAGCTGAGAATTTATATTATATTTCTGTTGCAGATGCTCGAAATGTGCCTTATAGGATATAAATTTGTTATTTTGGATGGACCTTTCTTGGTACACTGGCCCGGCATTAAAAAAACGAAAACCAAGGATGGGGAGGCTTGGAGAGACGAATTCGTAAAGAAGAACTCTGTCGAATATCAGAAAATTCTTCAAGTTTTGTCAAAAAAATATAAACCTAACCCTCAATGCAAAGTGCAGTAGTGGGCTTATAAAAATTTAGATTCTATATTATTTATTCTACATTATTTATTATTTTATAATTAGGTGATATATAACAAGCAATTTCAGTAAGACTCTTACAAATTTTACCAGGATATGAATTAACTGTTTTGCCATAATCGAGACAGTATTATTTTACCGTCCTTATTCACGCTCATTTTTTATGAAGATATTAGTGATATCATTTGCAAGTTGTTAAACTTTATTACATATCTTACGGATATTTGTGAATGGTTAAAATCTTATCTTGTTGAAATTTGAAATTTTGAATAGAATAGCAAAATAATGAAAATATTAAAAGAAACCATGTCAAAACTTAAAACTATTGTGTATGTAAAAATAAATGCAAGACAAATAACAATGAATATTTATTTAATGGCTATAAGATGCTATCAGAGTATATTGCAACTTCTTACCCAAAATTCCTCTTTTGCTGTATAGGGTGATTTAAACTTCCTGGCTCGATTAATTCAGAAAGTGGCAATTTAAGAAAACTAATAGCATCACTAAAATCTTAGTTGGAATGACATATCTTCTAGTAAAATAGAGAATATTTTGTAGAAATTCCATATAACTGTTTTTGTTTAGTACAACTGGTAAAATAACTAGTCCATCCAAATAATTTCCATTAATACCAGCGTAAGTTGAAAATATTTTTATGGACATTACTATCCTGAGTAAGGATAACCTGGCACTAGATCTGTCGTTGGATTGAATTTTCAAGCAGCAGCTTTTGAACATTTTGGGCGTAAATGTAGTAGATTACATACATCATATAACGGGTTCGTTCAGTAGGTACCTAATATTTAATTTATAACTTGATTTTACATTTTCCGTAATCTCAAAACTAGAGGGTGTCACAAAAAGTAACGCAGGATATGAATAGATTATCATCAAGAGTTGACAGCAATGTTTCCTCTAATTTTTTCGCTGACTACGTGGTACAAAAGTATATGGGAGCGAAAATGTATCCAGCCGTGCGGGTACTTATGTACGCCAATAGATTTTTGTCTTAGATACCAGTCGTGACATTATTTTGTCCAGTGCGAGGCTACTTTATTTGCACAACGGAAGAAGATAAGACAGAAATCTTTATAGACACTGTCAAAATATTTTCATGCACCCAGTATCTTTTATTTTTACGTTTTCTTTTCGTTTTTAAAATAACGTAAGCAGTGAGCGCTTTGTCGTCACTTCTAACTGAACATATTCAGAAGAAAAATTGTTTTAAGGAGTGTAGGTATCTACAATCGTGCTTGAAAAGAACAGCCCGATAGCAATAGATGCATTTGTTCCAGCCACCAGCTTGCACCGGACTAGCCTGGCTGCAACAGCCTCAATCAAAACCGGCCTTTACTCACGGTAGGAATATTTTCGTCTGAACGACCAGTACCAGGCCGGCCTGTTTTTTATTGTCAGAAAGTTTAGGGGTTGGTTGCTGAGGTTAGTAATATCAGTTTTTGTTTACGTTCTATAGACTTGCAATAAATCACAAAATGACTTTATAACCACTATAAAAACGTTGTATCTATACATTTTGGGTTCGCTAATTTCAATAAACCTTACAAGGAATTCGAATTTGACCATCGATTACCGTAGAATGATGGATTTCCTTGCCTAGAAATTAAATAAATAAATATTATTCTTTTGTTCTCAATAAATAGGATTTAGAAGGATCTAGGATAATTTTCGACGTTTTTTTTTATTTCAAAAGGAGAGTGCCCAGAATTTAAGGAAAGAAAAAGGTTGATGGTGAAAAAAAAATGATAACGAATATCCTTTAATAACCCGTAATAAGAACACGGACAAAAAATATAATTTAGCTACTTTATTGCCCTTATACCTATAAACATATTTATTAATAGTTTTATGCAGAAAAAATAAACTTATTTGATCGACAAAATTCATATTTTAGACAAATATCTTTAAATCTAAAATAATCCTACGTTATACAGGGTGTACCTGTACTTGACACAAAAAAGTCGAGTACAAATAGATGTGGTCAAAATAATATCAGTTCTTCGTATAAGTACATTTTTTTCATACGGGCCTTCGTTAACAAGTTACGGGCTCCCAAAGGTGAAAATTAAAAAAGTTATTTCTATTTACAGTCTTTAATCTGTTAACTTCAGCATGTTGCAAATTTGGTGATTGATAACATATGCGTACAGCTTATTTTTGATGTTGTAAGTGAAACTACATTATGCCCAGAGCGCCAGGGATGAACTGTGTTCAATGGTTAACAACCCACAATTTTGATAAAGATGACGATCTCCATCTGCCTGTATAAAAAATAAGTTCCGTGAAGAATTTGCCAACGATAATACCCTCTTGGTACAACTCGGTAAAACCACACCACAGAAGGGCTCCGGGCCAATGAACTTAGTTTCGGATCCCTTCCTATCAAGTTCATCCGCTTTCTCATTTCCACAAATGCCTTTATGCCCTGGCACCCAACACAGTCTGACTGTATTGTTGGTGGCCAGTTCAGTCAGCATTTGTAAATAATCCCACACTAGTTTTGAACTTATCTTGTGTGCCCCTAAAGCTTTAATTGCAGCTTGACTATCAGAGAATATACATATGAGTTTACGTTTATAACCTCTACGTATATTCTCTGACATTATCGCGAAAATTTCTGCTTGGAATACGGTAGGGAACTCTCCCAGACTGTAGCTTGCATTCCATCTGGGTCTGAGTCCATATATTCCTGCACCCGTCCCTCTGATCATTTTGGAGCCATCTGTAAACCATACTAAGCTCCACCTTTCCAGGGTATTAAACCTTTCCTTCCACTTGCTTTGATCCTCTATTCGAGTCTCAAATGGCTTGTGGAAGTGAAACCTTGGAACCATCTTGTCAGATACCATCCCAAAAGTTGGTTCCGACATAGATGTGTCTATAATCCTGGAATAGGA